TTAATACCGCATTTATATAGCGAGCCTTATAGATCACAGATCATCCTAGGCACTTTATTACATAATAGCAGACTTTAAAATCCATTAAATAATCGTTTAAAACCCCTAATCATCTTATTCTTCCCATGGACTACTTTCGAAGAATTTTGAGGGACGCCCTACCACGCACACTTTGCTCTCGTCGGGGACATTAGCCCCTCCGTCGACGTCGAAGACATCGGACCTCCCGTTGGGCAAGTCTTGACGCCATTTCTGGTTGAAGCTAATACTATAACAGCAACAAAAAACACAATCAAAAGAAGACCCACAAAACATGCAACTGCAACAATGCAAACCAGTACCAGGTTGCTTTTGTCGTCAATTTCATTTACTGAAATAAATATAAAGAAAATTCTTTATTTAAAAATATAAAAATCGTTTACAATGCCTTGGTGTGTAATGGTAAAGTTATTACATTGGACAGTAGTATTAGTTTAAACCAAACAAGAAAATATCAATTCAGTTATACTTGCCTCCTGTTAGGTCTACTTGAAGGCTGTTTAAGTCGAATATGACGTCCGTATTATTTATTGACATAAGTGTTTGTCTAAATGCTTCCTTTACTTGTTGTTCTCCAGCGGATTCGTCAGTGACAACCACGCTCATGTCCACAAAATTATTTCCTGATCGAAATGCAGTGATCTTGATGTCCTGCACTATGTCAGAGATGTCGGCGACTTCATTCATCTTTATCAACAAACGCAGTAAAACATTAGTAAAGACAGCACATTTTTGTTAATAACAATGTTTAAGAACTTAAGTCCTTTAGGCGTTCTGGAGCCAATTATCAGGCCTGTGTCGGTTCTCCACACCACGAAAAAGCTACTGCTAAAGTAGGCCAAAGCCTATAACAATTACCACCATCAATAATATGACACAAATTGCTCAGTTAGAAAAAAAAATAAATAAAATAAAAAAAAATAACTAAATAAATAAAATAAATGCTAAAAAAAAAAAAAACTTGAAAGATGACACAAAATCGACCGAGAGGGCAAGAGCAATGGCGTATGGAAAGGGGA